AGCCCCAGAAAATTCAGCAGCGCCTCTCTCTTTCCCCAAGGGGGGAGGGAGGGAGGGGGAGGGAGGGGAGTTACGAGATCCTCAGCGCTTTAAGGTGTAGCCTCCCCTCTTGGCTGGCAGGAAGATGCGAACTCGGGGCAGCGGCGGAGCTTCGGAGTTGCTGCCGCCACTACCTGTGTGGCCCCAGCCGCGGCTGCTCCGCTCCGCTCGTGGAAGCTCAGGCCCCCCTGTCACCATGTGAACGCTTTGAATCCGGATCGGATCTGCTGCCTGCCTCCTTATTCTCATGGGAAGCGGAATATTTTAAAAAGGCATAGAAAAGACGCTCTCCTTCATTTTTTGTTTCTGCCTCACCAGCGCCTTGCTTCTCATCGTTCTCTTTTTTTAATTATTATTTTTAACCCCTGCCTTCCTGGAGACCACTTAGGTGGGAACTTCCTCTGAAGATCCGAAGCCGCGCCAGAGCAACTCCAGGTACTTATAAAAGTGCCCATGTGCTCTTCACAGACCTGTAGCCTAATGCTTCGTGAATTTCCACGGGCGGGTGCGTGGGTGGGATGGGGCTATCCAGACAGCAGAAGTGGGTGGGGGGAGTGAAAGGTATTGTTATTCTCGTTTCGCCCCCTCCCTCCACGTTACATGCATGCCGCATAGGGGGGCGCTTTGGGGTGGTCCTTGTGCGATCGGCGCGGTTTCTACGACAAACCACGTCCCGTGTCTGCGTGTGGGATTTTCATGGGCACGTTTGAGCGTCTTAGCCGTGGCCGGAATAAGAAAGGGTGGGGAAGTGTTGCTTTGCAGGGGAAAAAAAAAGTTTATTTCACTTATTGTCTATTTTAGGAGGCTGCAGAAGGACATTAGAGAAAAGGGAAGGGGTTCATCCGCCCTAGCCGTGCTGTTGCCGGCAGCCCAGTAGCACACATAGAGCATCAGGCTGATGCATGATTTCTTCGCGAAACTTGTGCAGGACGAGCAGTTGAGCGTAGTTTCTTGGAGGGGGAACCCTAACGCTAACCCTTGACCCCCTTTCCCCTCCCCAGGATGTGTATTTTTATTAAACCGGTAACTGTCCGTCGCCAGCAGCCGCGAGCACTCCGCACGGAGCTCCCGCATCGTAAACCGTCCCCCGACTGCCTGCGAGGTCGCCTTCAACGAGCGAAAACGGTGTTGCCCGAGGCCCCGCTCCTTGGCGACCTCCCACATGGAGCCGCCCCCGCTTCCCATCTCCCGACCTCACACATGTGAGGCCGCCTGGACGGTGGGGGGCGACCTCCATCCCGGAGGCACTCTGCGGCTCCGCCCTCTCGTTGGTCATTCTGATTTCCTATTGGCTACTAACCCTTTCCCTCAGAGAGTCTTCTTCAAGGGGGCACGTGGAGTGTTTTCTCCTCTCCCGCAGTCGCAACTTGTGGCTCCTTGAGCTGTTGTCTTTCATTTCTAACAGACGAGGGTCCAAGTTGCGGCAGAATTGTCGGATCTCTTTTCAAGCACATTTTAATGATGTAGCAACCTTGTGGAAACTAAATTGGGCTAGTCAATTGGTTTGGGGAGACCTTCTGAAAGCCCTACATGCGCAGCTTTGAATTTCATAGTGGAAGAAAGGTGGGATCTAAATATATTTTATAAAATAATTGTAATCTTATGATCAAGAGAATAACAGCTATTTAGCACTCACTCCAAAAAAGCCATGGCCATCTTCAAGGTTCAGAGACTTCGGGGTCCTCTGTTTTAGCAGCACAACTTCCAGAATTTGTAACCCAAATTCCTTAAGCATGCTAAAGTTCCCAACTTTAATTTCTGGTTTGTCCAGCTAAGACTGGCCACAATTCCTGCCAAAGATTACAGAGAATCACTGCCGCTCACTGTAGATCAGCTTTTTTCCATCTGGTACCAGAATAGAATTGCTAATTTTGAAGAAGGGAATGTGAAACTTAGAAATAGAATTCAAATTTATGTTTTTAAATATTAAGATATAAATCATAATATTCAACAGGCAAAATAAACATTACAGTTATTGTATAGTTAGCTATCATGTCTGGATTTTAAAGTTATCAGTTGTGGGCTGATCTGTTTTTCATTGGATTGGAGCTGAGGAGGAAAGGGTTAAGCTTCCTTTGCCTTCTTGTCCTCTTCTTGTTAACATTTTTAAAAACACAACACATGATTGCTGTCTTGTTGACTCTGAGAAGAGAAATACAGTGTTCACTTGAAATGCTAAATTAGCCTTTCATCTGTGTCTTTAGATGTGTTGGCTGGAAATGATGGGTCTTGTAATCCAATGTATTTGGAAGATGATAGTTGGCTGTGCTGAGCTGTGATTTTGTACCATGTGCACAAGATGGAAGGATTCCATGCAAAGTGAGGAATTCAAATGCTGCCCTCTTTCCTGTTCTTCTGTAAACAGGGAAGAACAGAAACCAGAATGTAGTGCTACTCCACGTTCATTATTGTATGTATTGGAAATTGGTTTAAAACAAATACTTATTTGTTAAGTCAGGATTAGAACTTTGTGAAAATTCTGAACATCTACATCTGGCACAGAAAAAAAATGCTATTTAGGACAATTATGGGCTTCATTTCTTCCCAATCCCACAACTGTTAGCAGGACTCAAATTTCATACATCCTTTGATGTAGTATATTGGTTCTGATCCATAATTAAGAATTCTGTAACTAAGAAAGTAAGAGTATTTCTTTTCCTGAAGAACTTTATTGAGAGAAAGCATCTTACTTGGGATAGAAAATCTGCAGGCATTAAAACCCAGACACTTTGCTGGCAACAGTAAGGAAAGTCTTTATAAAATTATATCTGAGTTCTTTATTAGGGCTCTTTCCCTTACCCAACAATTTATGCAGGGAGAAAAACCAGGACATTTAAAAGTATTTGAAAGCCCAGTGGAGCACAGTATTTTTGAATAGCCTACCCAAAACTAAATGAAGACGAGGCTACTCTAACCTAGGAAAGACAGTGTTTTAGTTTACAACTGAATGCTTCCATAGAAAGTCCCTGTAATGTGTGTCTATGAATCTGAACTTTCTTGTGGTAGGACATTTAGAAGAACCTCTTGAAAATTATCTTTAAGCAGGTTCATTTTGGGGAAGGTAATCTTTCAGATATCTTGGTGCCAATCTATTTAGGAATGTATAGGTAAGGACCCCATCTTGAATTATGTCCAGAAACAAATTGACACCTATTATGGTTTATGCAGCTGACTGCTGCAGATTATGTTAAGGCAGTCCCATACAAAATGTATTGTATCAATCTACATGAAAGGAGTTAGTTCATGGAACACTATGGCCAACATCACAGTAAATATCTTCTGAACTGTTTGCAGATATTTTAGTTGTAACTGGGTTTCTTGCTTAGAGGTTTTATTCATATTTTCTCTCAGACTGTGAGCAGAAAGAACTTGCTAGTTGTATTTTGTCTGTGGTGTTTCTATGTGTTACTCAGATCACTTTGTCTTCCTTGCCATTGAATTGTTGCAGCATTTGGTATAATACTATCAGAGGTTGAGACCACTGACCTTATCACAATATTCATAAGCATAAACACTGCAAAGACATGACATAGGTTTTTTTTCTGGAGATAATTGTTATCCTTACCACAAATCAAAGTGAGTGCAAGTTGAAAATGTGTGTATTGCCAAGTGACAACTGTTATGCTGATAACTCATGGATTACTTATTCCTTGTTTTCTTGAATGATTTTGTAGCATTCACTGCTTAAAGTATGTTCCCAGTTTATTATTTTGAACCTTTTTGCAATACCATAATGAGTCAATAACCATTGGTTCATGAAAGACTGCTGCATACCATAAAGTATGAACAAGAGGTTGCCAGCAGGGTTCTTAGAACAATAAAAGTTCTATAGTAGTAGAGAAAAATGTTGTAAGTTGGTATAAAAAGAGGGTAAGTTCTTTTCCCTTTTCAACAATTATCTGTCAGATAAAGATGTATTTAAAATTTAAAGATAATAGTTTTCTTGAGTAGACAAATGCGTTAACTGCCAATACTTTTTTTTTTTTTTTAGTACCAAAATATGTTTGCCTTCAAAAATGCTTTATAGGACACTGGTTGAGAAAAGTTAGCATATGCCATAAAGCTGATGAAAGTTGGCATATGTCATACTAAATTTGTTAGCCTTCGTATATGGTTTTCCCAACTATTAAGTCGTGATGTCATGGATTCTTCTGCCACTTTCCTGTACTTACTTACCAGAAAATAATCTCCATTCAACTCAGTAACTTTGAGTAGTCATTTAGAGAATGGTATTATTCATAATCTTTTCAACTGCTCAGGTTGTCACTAGTGGAGTTTTGACAAACAGCAGCTTAAGTATGCAAAATAAAAGCTCAAATTGGAGAGAAGGAAAACATTACATAGTGCATAAAGTCTGGAAAAAAATTGAGTACTTCGCAATTCATGAGTAAAGAATCAGAAAAGGAGCTGAATGTTGGAAGGGGAAGGAGAGCCCAGGAAAAAGCATGGACAGGAGGGAAAACTTAATGGAGGAAGTAGAAAGCTGAGGAAGAAATAGTCTGTGTGAAAGATACATGCAGAGAAACATAAGATTTAAAAAGAGAACTATGCTATAACATAAATAAAAAGGATGGTTGGAGTAGTTAGGGAAATAGGAGAGACAATATAGTGGGAAAAGAGCTTATAAGAAAAGTAACCAAAGTACAAAGACCAATAGGCCAGACTTGTCCAATCTAGCATATTGTGTATTGGGCAACAGATACCAGTCTTCCCAGCTAGTCTTCTTCATTGATTAGGAATTCCTTTTCATTGCTTAGGAATTCTGAGACTAGTTTAAGATCCATGTAGAACACAGGTACAGGCAATAGAGCTTTATGAAGAATTTGAAAGAGATGCTTCACAAACTAAGTTCGCACAAATAGAGCATCTTTCTTGAGGCATTATAGTAGCCACACCCTTTGAAAGGCTTGTGTGGCTACTTCGAAATCTATCTTCTCATTGAATACATAGGTGTGTCCAGCTCCTTTTCTTTACAGTAATCCCAGGAGAAGTGTTTTCAAATGGGGAGGATTTTTTAACCAACTGCACAAATTTTGTAAAGGACATGGCTACTTTAATAAGATGTGCTCAGTCCACAGTGACCCACATTGTGAAGGAGTTTTTTCATATGGTTTACACAGCTGTAATAGGCAATATATTCAAAAGCAGAGAATTAAACAGGAAGATGAAGGAGGCACAGAAGTAGGAAATAGCTTTGGGATAGCTAAGCAGAATTCTAATGCTTGGGGTACAAAATCAATTATTCTGTTGTTAATAAGCTCAGCTTCACAAAACTCATAGGAAACATAGGCCTGGTTCATGCTCAACCATAATATGTTTGGTTTAATATTTTGTGTGAGCCAGGCATGGTGTTTTCTTCAAAAAACTGTAGTTTAAAAATTCTGGCTTGCTGTTATCTGTGAATGTACCCATTGTCTTTTCTATATTTTACTGAATTTGTTTCAGATTTTTATCTGTAAAATACTAACAATTACCTTAATAATCTTGAAGTTATGTTAAAATAATCTCTTTTTTCATAATTCCTGATTTTTGGCATTTACTTACAGCAAAATTAAAGAGTTTTTTATTCTTGGTGATGCTTTGGTTGCTCATTAGTGATAATGCAGAGAAGTTGGTGATCTGTATATAGACAGGTTTTGTAGCCCTTGTCACTCCTTATTACTTGAAGGTTGAATTTGCTGTAGCCAGTCATAATTTATCACTGATTGTAGATGACAACTATGGATATAAAGCTTACTTCTCTCAACCATGCATTGCTTTTTCATTGTTGAATCATTCCCACATTGTCTTGTGAATTCTTCATATACTGGATCTTTTAAACATCTACTTAGAAAAAGATGAGGCTTATAAATATTAGGGGTTTTGGATTTGATAAATTAACATTTGTAATTTGATTAAAAATGAACACTACTATTTGGCTACTTTTACTGTTTCTGACTAGATGTGCACACTGCTTCAGGCAAAGTTAAGCACTTTTAAGTATAGTAATTTCAGTGGGAGGGATCTTAAGCATAGAAAGCATTCAACACCATTGTGCTTAGTGAGGTTAAAAACCATGACTTTGTCCTGTGATGAACATTGGGGAATCTTCTTTCTATCTGCCTTTGGATGAATCTGTATATTTCTCTTTGTGTGTTTCTAAACTACAGTAGTGGATGTCTCTTCAGTTGTGTATAACAATCAGGGCATTTTTAAATCCAAGTATGATCAATGTAGAACAGGTATTAATATTGAAAAATGTATTTTGTATTTTTTCTGTTCATCTTTATTAATTTAGCCTTTCTCTCTTCTCCCCAAATTACGATAACGGCGGAATTTGAAAAGAAGTCTTGATTTGTTCAGAGTCACTTGCATCTTTATCATTGGATTTCTTAGTTGTTGCAGTGCATGTTACTTGTATTGTGTTTCCATCCCATGTCCACTTATAGAATGTTTCTTGGGCTTCTATTGCTCATGCACCAAGATTATTGAAGCATTTGTCTTAATCCTATTTAAAATAAATCATATGTGTTCAGTTGTAATCCATTAAAAGTAATTATTTTAATTATAAATTTCAATTAATTATACATATTATATTTATCTAAAAGGAACTCATTAGATTCTTTTTCCCAAATAAATTACCTTTAACATGTGAGAGTTGTCTTAGATTCACAGAAATTTAGTAATGGGACCAATAAATATTTTCTTATAATCTTCCTTTTTGGAATAGAAATTTTTAAATTCAGAGCTGTCTTATTTTGTGGTAAATACAATTCATACTCAACATATTACAGAGTTTATTATTGAAGGGGGCTTAGTCATAATATGATTTACACCCCAAAGGCTCTCTTGCACATTGCTAACTCTGCAAATAGAGGCTGAAAAGTCCTCAGCCTATATCCAAACCCATTTCTTTTCTATTTAGCCTTGCTGCAGCTTTGCTTATATGGCTGTTGCTGTCAATTCCATAGCACTTCTCTAATTAGATTAATTAATTAGATTAGAGAAGTTTCTCCCAATCTGGGCACCCTCCAGATGTGTGGACTTTATTCCCAGAATTCTCAGCAACAGCAAACAATGTATTTGTTGAGGAGTTTTGGAAGTTGAAGTCTATAAATCTGAAAGGCACCTCAATGGATTATACTCTGTCCTTGAAGATGGTTTGGAAATTTTAGCTAATAGAAATAGAAAACTTCAGTTAAAAAAAAATGGTCACGAGTTTATTCTGAGGCTTAACTCAGTGTGACAGTCTTGATTTGCAGAGTTTAGAATGCTTAGATTGTGACCAGTTCAGTGGAGAGGTTCACATATTGAGATGTGCCATATTGCAATTTGTTTGGCTTAATACACTGTGTGTATCCAGTTACAACTTGATATGTAAACACAGCCAGTATGGCTTGTTCCACAAACTGTAGTTAATACTACCCTTGGTTTAGTGTGGGGGGTAATTCCAACCATTGTCTTTTGGACCAACGTACCTCACAAGTTTGTTGAGAAAATAAAATGAGCACTATTTGAAAGGAGACACCATTACTAACACAGTATAGGGAATGGGGTACTAATACTGATAATGGGAATGTAGCCTGGTAATGCACACTAAGTAGTGAAACTAATGCTATTAAATGTACTAACTAAAGTGAAGTAATAAATGAAAGGATATTCTGTGATGGAGAAATAATACTATGTTCTTTCTTTCTTTTTCTCTCACCCTTTGGTTCTATAGATTGAATTGGGTTTACACAGAGATTTATTCCAAAGACCATGAGATAATTGTCACCAGCTAAGCAACAAGACAAGCAGGGTTTATTACTACAGTTCTGGAATGTTGCATCCTGTTGGCTGGCCCATCTGTAATTGTTCTGGACACATGTTGAAGTAGCAGAAAAGGCAGATTTGCAACTGGAATCCAGGTTAAAAGCTACAACAGTTGGAACACCAGAGAACAACTGGTGAAGAAGGAAAGCCGTGAAGTCATGGATAAGGACAGCATGAGCCTAGCTGACCAGCAGTATGAATGTGTAGCGGAAATTGGTGAAGGAGCTTATGGGAAAGTGTTCAAGGCTCGGGACTTGAAGAATGGAGGGCGCTTTGTAGCACTGAAGAGGGTGCGGGTGCAGACCAGCGAGGAGGGGATGCCGCTTTCCACTATACGCGAGGTGGCAGTCTTGAAGCATCTGGAAACATTTGAGCATCCCAACGTGGTCAGGTGAGGAAGTGGGGCAAGGAATGTGATCAACTCTGTTTGAGATTGGATGTGTAGATTGAATGAGAATTTTAAGCAAAGGCATTTGGATAATCTGAGCATTAGAGCAGATGTATAGAATGAACTCAGAGTTTGTTTAAGTGAGTACATTGCCAGCCTAACCCACCTTTGCTTGAGCTTTGCCTCCTACGCATTCAAACATCCATCTCCAGAGGCATAGGTGTGTGACTTAAGTATTTGAGTGGATGGGCACGGTGCCACATGTATGCACTGATTTCTGGAACACCCAAAAAATAATAATAATAAAAAGAGATTGTCTTTTGTACTGGGAATTGGTTGTGCCTAGGTCAACCTATGATTTTTTAGCACTATCAAATATTGCCATTAAGGCAATAATCATACGATATAGTAACCAAGTTAATTTTTAAATTAGAAATTAGTCTAGAATATGTAGTCCCTTCTAAACAATTCAAGAGAATATAGAATATATTACATTCTCATGTAAAATAGAAATTCAAAATGAGTAAAGTAAATAATAGTGCTGAAATTTTATGCAATGGTAAACTTAAATCCAGCTGTTAAAAACCATGCTGAATAAAAACAATTCCAAAATATGCCAAGGCTTGAATTTCTCTGAGATCTCAAATGAGAGTATTAATGCTGTGTTCACACATTACAGTGAGTTTTGCTTAATTTAAAAAGCCAGAGTTGGCTTGGTTTATATATTGGATTAAGCCATAAAATTATTGTTAGTACACCATAGTGACTGGATTTGCACAACTTGTTAAGCCAAAATTAAACAAATTGCAATATGACTTTCTGCAATGTGTAAACTTAGTTGTGAAGTCACAAACGTGTCACCACATGCCTAAACTACTTGGATGTACAAAGCATGAATTCTGGAGTATGTTTCCAATAATCTTTACAATCCTGGCAAGTGATAGGGCAGATGATGATTGAGCAAGTGAGGATCCAAGTTGTCAAGTAATGTAGGAACACTCAATGTTAATTGGTGTGAATTTACAGTGTTTTATTTGCCTGCCTGGTCAGATGTAAGCCCTATTGAATTTAATGGAATTTAACCTCCACTGCAGATTGTAGCCTTAGTTGCATGTGGCCTTAAAGTTTATTACTTCTTAGGCCACATGGGCTCTTAATTTGTGATGTCAATTCCTGGCCAAATCTTTAATAGGTTAGAAAAATATGATTTGGAATATAAGTAAGAAAAAGAAAAAGAAGAAAGAGTTGTATATTATTATTCTTCCCACCTATGATAGTTTTAGCTTTTGTAAGTTTTAGCTTTTATAAATGGTTCAGAAATAATACAAGGCTGTTCATCAGTAACAGAATAGTCCTGTGTGTTCATGTCTATAATTTGTGCTATGTTCTTGCTGATGTGATAGCTGCAGAGGAAGATTCATTTACCAGTTTCATGGGTGGAGTCCCAGTAGTTCTAATCATACTGTTTCTTTAGATGAGTAATATGTCTGATATGTAATAATACGAGGTTCAAATGTACATGATGATTAATTATAAAAAAAATGCCTATACATACCAGGTATCATGATGGAATTTGAAAAAAGCTAAGTTAGGACTTTCAGTGAAACTTTCCAAGGAATTTCTGCAAGTATGTAATTAAGTAATAAATCTTCATATTTGGAACCTACTAAAATAAAACTTCTGCAATCCTATATCTACTTTACTTACTTGACACATCAAGTACGTAAAGTAGATATAGGATTGCAGAAGTTTACACGTAAATAATAGTATTCTATACCTATCAACTTAATGAGATTATGAAGATCCTTATGTTTTGCTTTTCTAGATGCAACAAAGAATCTATCTTATGTGTAAATAGTTTTTATAAAATGGTGTATTGAGTGTTTACAGTATATCTAAAAGATAATTAACTTGATGGTGCTGCTGATTGAAGTATATTTCAGTAGAATTCAAGACTAGTTAAGATCTGTTAATTTTTACTCATTGAGTGCACTTTCTGAGTGAATTTGTAAGCTTTGTCAGTCTTCCCCAAACTGGTAACCTTGAGGGATATTGTACTGCAACTTCCATTATTTCCAGACAATGTGGGCAATAGCTGTGCTGATACAGATGATGAGAATCATGCTTTCCCATTTGGAGGGCAGCAGGGTGGGGAAAAGTGATCTACTTATGGTCATATCTGTTAGGCTTTAGTAGAAAAATCAGATAGTTTCAGCTAGCTACAATCTCCTTATATGATACAGTATACTGGTTATTTATATAGGTAACTGTTTTGGTCTAAAATCCACGTTATTTGTAATAGCTTCCCTATCTAGAAATTATCACATTCATATATTTAAATGCCTTGCAAAGTGATTGGTTTTGGATATATTGATTGTTATTGCTTTAAACATTTACTCTTTGTAAATTCAGTTATAGAAGGGCTGTCACTGAATGAACAGTAAGGTGTCATCTGAAAATAAACTGGTTGCAAAAGGACTATTTATGAGGAAGTTACTTGAGTCTGTGGCAAAAATCTTAGAAAATCATAGAACAAAGAAAGGAATGCATAGTGCTGCATTTTTACTCATTGAGTAAAGTCATTTTCTGTCATGATAGCTAAGTTCACTCCTCTGTTTTTAAGAAAGAGAAACCTACATTGTATTTTGGATTCTGTTTTTTAACCTGCATTACCTTATCAAGTAGTCTAACTTAGGGATTGGTCTGTAAATAATATTTTGATTTCATGGGAATGTTGTATTTGCTTATTATTGCACTCAGGAGTAGGTAAATACCTTTTTTGCTCAAATATAAAATGGAACAATATAGTGCTTTGGCTTTTTCCAGTTAAGGAAATCAGAACAAAAGAGTTTGATGCTAGAGCACGTCACAATTAACAACAATGGAATTTATTGTACTGGCTGTAGTATTTAAAAACTGGTAGATAGGTGTAGGCCCTCCTACAATACCTTCAAAGCATAGAAATTTGGTACTCAACAATTGCCTTAAGAAGAATCCTATTGGATCAAGTCTACTTAGTCTAGAATTTTTTTCCACAATGATCAACCAGATGCCTATAGAAAGCCCACAAAAAGATTTGAGTACAATAGCACAATCTTATTTGTGGTACTCAAAACTGGTGTTAAGAAAAATACTCTGCCTCCAATATTGGACATTGTATATGGGCATCATGACTTAAAAGTCTTATTCTCTTTGGATCATTTTATTTTGGTATGAGGAACTGCCACCACAAGGGATAGAGATTTGATTCAAAAGGAATTCATTGGGTGTGGAATCAAGTCTTTGCATGCAGCCTGCTTTCCATGTTATGCTATATAAGTTTAAAACTCTACATCTAGAATTCACGTAGAGTGATCTACAGTGATCTTTCCGAGATTTGGATTATGTCCATATAGGCCCTGGTGTGTGTAGTCAACAGTCCTGAATCCAGGTCTCTCACTTTTTCATTTTCTAAATAAGAATAAATTATTCATAACAAGAAAGATGTTCTTGCCTGCTTTCTGTTAAGAGAATTTGTGCAAACGTTGCTTGGGATATCCTTTAAAAATATGTTTTAATTGAATCCTAAAGTCTAAAATCACTGTATTTGAGAGGGCAGGAAGATCTATCCTTCAATATTAAATGTTCAGATGATCCAGAAAAGGACAGTTAGAGAAACAGTGGAGTAGGCATTCAGTTTCCTTCCTTTTTTTCATTGAAATGCAGTCTTTCAAAATGCTGTGAAAAGTATCTTGTTTTTGTTATCTAGAGCAAGTTTTGTTTTTGAAAGCTAGTAATATTTCTTATAATATTAATCTCCTCAGCAATCCTTGTAATTTTGTTTCAGTGGACTGCTCTAATGGTCTGAATAGCTAAACAATAACAGCTGGTTATATTTTTGGAGGTAGTGCTAGTTGATTCAACTATTATTCCGTGCAGATTTAGTATAATCTGTTGGAACAAACTGATATAAAACACTTTTAGTTAAAAGTCATCATTGAGTGATAGTGCTTTAACTTTTTACTTGGAACTAGTGCTGTATAATAGCAGCTGGGAGTTTCAGTGTAGAACTGAGATTGAGTAGAAGAACTAAGAGTTGAGGTTTGCACACTGAGCTAAGCATGATTTGTTTTAACATGATTTGTACACTAAGCTATACTTAATTGGGTTCATCCAACACATTAAAATATAGAAGATAGTTTTACAAACATATTGCCTGATTTCAGAGAATGTGCTAAGCCAAACCCAAACCAACCACATTATGGTTTAATGTGATATGTCCCTGCAACCATTGGCTTCAGAGAACAGCACCAGAACTCTTTTATATCACCTACTATTGAAACTAGAGAACTCCGAAATGTTCCTTTCTTGTATTCTTTCTAAGGTTCATTTTATAATCTATGCATGCACAGATCAAGAGGCTTCAGAAGCTGATCCCTAATCTATTTGTAAGAGAATCTGGAATTTTAAATGTTTGAAACTTCTTGGAAAGTCTTCTGTTTCACCTTTCCCCTACTAGAAAACCAGTCAAAGCCAAGCCTCATGTATAAATAACTAAGCATACCATGTGCATAAGCACATCCTACTGGCATTTAATTGTATTTGGTAAGATAAATTTAGTGTACCCAGTCCAGAGTTCAAATGGCAAGATTAAATGTTTAATTAGTCATTATTGTCCAGAATATATAAATTTGGCACAAATATGTTCACCAGTTATGTAAGATATCCCTGCACTGCTTGCAGAAAACATGAAGTAAATGTAGACAAAGAGTAAACTTTGCCAGGAATAAATGACATACTGAATCCAGGAAATTCCTGTGTGTAAAATTAGGAGTATTTCCTGCTGTAATGCATCTGTAAATATTCTTCTGATTCTGATTATATTTGTTGCATTTAGCACCACCTATCAGCTTGAATGTACTGGAATCTGCATTTATAAAATATGAGTCAGAAGTGGAATATTTCAAGCAAAAGTATCCCATATCAAATAGTGATGTTTTGTGTGTGGGGACCAAATTTTAAAA